CGTGTGACACACAGGCAGGGGCAGCACAACAAGCCTGCCTTACCCTGGGTTTTAGCTTAGGCAGAATCATTATCATCCAGGCCCAGCAGTTTACATCTTACACTGACAGCTCAGGCTTGGTTACACCAAAAAAAGGAGCAACAAATTCTAAGAGAGTCAGAAAAGCCCTGAAATAAAGGCTACAGGGGATCCCAGATGTACTTGAACCAACCACGGTCACACCATCAGCACAAGCTGCAAAAAGTGCCAAAACAAGATGAAAACACAAACAGTCCACGTGTTAAAAAGCTTTTTAAAGGCTTTGGCTGTTGCTCAGAGTCCTTCCCTCCCCACATACCTGCACATAATAATAATAATAATAATCATCATCACCATCATCATAATAAAAACTAAGCCCTCAAGATCAAATAGTCAGTGGTATCTTAAGAGCAAAAAAAGAAGACAGGCTTAGGAAACCAAATCCTTGTAATAAATAATATATTATGAGCTAAGGAGATGAACTGACAAAGTGGTGCACCTCTAATCTCTTCCCTGCAACAGCGAGAAGAGCTGAATCAGTCGCACAACATTTTTCTTAAAGCATGTTCGGGGACTGCTCCTGCACTCCAGCTTCTCAAAGAATATCATGCTCTACTAATTTACCAGCCTGACTAAGCCACACACCAGCAGCACAGGCAGTCTTAACCTGGTATTTTATACTGTAAGAATAAAACTTCAGAACATTCTCTCCCTGGAATATAATTGACTGTTCCAAGGCAGGTTTAAATCAGAGACGAGAGATTCAAGCCACTCAGCTGATGCAAACCCAGCTCCCTTTTAGGGGTTCAGAGGTAAGGCTCTTCCTCACACATCTCTGATGTTCAACAGAGTTGTCGAGCCCAGCAGCTGTGGCAGCTCTGACATCAATGGGATGTAAATTCTGCCTGTGGCCCCTACCCCCAGACCCACTGCAGCCCTGCCCTGCACCAGGGGCCGCCTCGCTCAGGATTCCCAGCCAGTCACTCATTCCAAACTTGAAATGACAACTCCACCTTACACAACGTTTTTAAATAACGAATTATACAAGGAAAAATAAAATCCAGCCCCCACGCCAGAGGTGCCGGGCATGTAAGGAAAATTAACTAGCCCATATTTCTAAGCAGTAAAATCAATGTCACCTTTCTATACCTTCGGTCCCTTGTCTAATGTCACTCCGCATATCCCTACCAGTGCTGTGCAGCCATTTCAGGGGTAAAGTCCACGAGAGAGGACTTCCCCCCTTCCACCAGTCCCATGTTTTGCTACGAAGGCCACATCCCTTCAGTTCTCCCTCTCTTAGTTTTGCCATCTGGGGAAAAAAAAAAAGTCTCTACAACACTCAAGACCTGAAGCTTTTGTGAAAAAAATATGCACCTTCCAAGCAATAACTGTGGAAGGAGGGACTGCTTTTGGTGTGGCACATCACACAAGAGTTGGGGTTTAGTCTAAGGAAGGATTTCAACTTACAAGCAAAAGAGAAAAGGAAGGGGGGAAAAAGAAACAACAGTGTTGAGTGTTTAGCCGGCAATAAAGCAGCTGATTTCAAATTTCAAATTCATTGGTTTTGACATTAGTTGCTTTAGTACTGCAGAGATTTTTTTAATGATGCAATGTTCAGACACAACTGTGCCCAAAGTTGTGTGTAAATGGAGTTGTTACTGGTCACCAGCTCCGAGGAACAACCCGCAGAGCTGAGGCTCAGACTCCAAGTCAAACACGCACAAGTAGGAGAACTAAGGAACTGCAGGAATAGTATTAAAGGATTAAGACAATTCCAGAAAAAGGCTGTGCCAGTGGCAAATACAAGTAACTGGTTTTCAAAGTTTGACTTTTCTTCAACAGTGTTGGAGACAATCCCAAAGAGAACTTAGAAATGGGAATACATCCTGCAAACTATTTGCTCGCAGCCCAGTGCTTTTGGATTAAAATCAACTCACCTACCAAACTCTCCTTCTCCGATGCCACACCCCACACTTCTGTTTACACTTTCTCTTTGTTCCCCAATTTTCCCTCGTCAAGTCTTTGATTTTCTCACCAGAATGGAAGTGGATGCCAAAACTGTGAGTTGGTTTGGCCTTCCCAGGGCAGAGCAGTGGGAAAAGGAATCGTTGCTGCAAACCCACAAAGCTACTGCTGCTGGCAAAGGCAGGAACTGCAGCTGGATTTGAAGATGATTTTAAAAAAGGCCAAAAAAAGGCAAAAAAAAAAAAAAAAAAAAAAAAAAGGCAAGAGAGGAAAGAAAGGGGGGAAGGCACCATGTTTTCAGCTCAGTTATTTGAGAAATAATTGCTGTAATTTTGTCTGTCCTCAATCTCCTCACCAGGCAAGCTTACTGAGGAAGATGTCTAGTTCTTGAAAGTGCTAAAATTCACACTTTTTCTAGAAGAAGTTTGATTAGTTTGAAATTTACACTTGACCATTTCCAAATTCTAGGATAAGACCTAAAAAA